TTAGGAAAATAGCAAGGTATACAGAAGTATACTTAAAATGCTAACTTTTATGTAAAAAACTATAGAGTGAGAATACATATTTTCCATGTATACTTATATTTGCATAAAAACTCTTGATGTATAAATAAGAAATTAATAAAAGTGGTTCCCTGGGTGGGGGCAGGGGTTCTGGGAAATGAGCAGATGACTGATAGGAGGGAGAAGGAGAAGTTTTACTATACACCTTTTTATTCCAATCATATCTTTGCCACCCTCACCACTCCACTAAAAATTGCTGTTGTGAAGGTCAACAGTGACTTCCGCTGGGTTCAAACCTGGCATTCTTTTCCCATCCTCATCGTATGTATAATAACTATCTCTTATGCACTGATCCTTGGCTGTTCCTTGAAACACTTTCTTCATTTGGCTTCCAAGACTCCTCATTCTCCTCACTTTTCTCATATTCCCTGGCCCTTCTCACTCTCCTTTTATTATTATTTTACTTACTGATTAATAGGGGTTCTTTGAATAAGAAAGAGGAGTAGGAGCTCCTTGCACAGGAAGGAAATTAGCCCTGTATCAGTTAGCATTTGCTGCATAACACAAGTTCACATGTACCTCACTCTGCTCTGCTGGTACCTCTTAATGTTGGGGAGCTCTGGGGCTCAGTCCTCAGAACTCTTTTTCTTTCTATACCTGCTCTTGTGGTGATCAAGTCCATTCTCATGGCTTTACGTATCTCCTCTTCTGTTATGATCCTCCCAAATCTCCACCTCCAGATCTGTTCTTTCTTCTTGGACCCAGCATTTTGGGAGGCTCAGGCAGGAGGACTGCTTGAGCCCAAGGGTTCTAGACTGGCATGGACAACATAGCAAGACCCTGTCTTTATTAAAATTTTTTAAAAATTAGCTGAGTATTGTGGCACACACCTGTAGTCCCAGCTACTTGAGAGGCTGAGGTGGGAGGACCACTTGGGTCCAGGAGGTCGAGGCTGCAGTGAGCCACGATCACGCCATTGCACTCCAGCCTAGGCAACAGAGGGAGATCCTGTCGTTAAAAAAATAAAATAAAATCATTTGTATGTTATGCTATTTGTATGTTATGTTCCAAAATTGACACTTAATTTATTAGAATAAATGATACATTCAAATTCTTTTTGAATAGAAAGAATAGATCTTGAATCTTGGCTATAAGACCTGTCTAAATGTACTGAAGTGTCTAAGGAAGAATGTGTTAGAGGAAGGGCAGTCAGCTGCAGTAGCATTGCCGAAGCAAACTTGTTCATTGCCCATCAAGCACCATCTGGTGGAGAGGAAATCAAGACCATCCCAACCAACGTTGAATGTCTAATCCAGCAGTCAACCATAATAGTTCCATCCAAGAGGACACAGTTAGAGCATGGAAAGATAAGTGCCCTGTCTTCCCACCATCACACTCTTCCTGGAGAAATGTTTCCCTGGTGAGCTGGGACTCTTGAAGACCAGGAAGAGGGTTCTCCCTCCTAACCCACATCTGAACATTTCAGTCACACTATTGGCAAGGCCACTCTGACATGAGAGATACTATGGCTTAGACTTCCATGGGTGAATTCATTCCTGTTGTCTCTTCATTCAACTCAGAGATTTCCAATACACTCATTACCTACATCAAGTTTTCACTTGTTCATAGGGTGAAAGAAAAAGCATGGTATAGTCACTTCTAAAAATTGCTTATTTATGGATTTTTTTTTTTTTTTTTTTTTTTTTTTGGTGTGAAAGTGCCTTCTGGGAAAACTCCAAAGTCTTGGTACAATAATATTTCTAGTGGCGTTAATGTAATTAATTCCCTCTATTACATTTTCTATATTAGCAGAGCCAGATTTAGATCATTATTTGACTTTTCCCACTTGTAGGGAGTAAATACTCTGACAGGACATGATTTCTAAGCATTCTGATTTTGGGGTCAGTTATTTCTATTGTAAATATATACATGGGCAGCTATTTTGGTGTTTAGACATCTACCTCAAGACTGTTTAATATGAGTGTGCCCGTAGGAGACAAGTTTGCTCTCAAGGTTACTATCTGTAAGACCAAGAGCATCCCCTTGGCCTGTGGCAAATTCACTGTCCTTGGCCACCTCCCCACCACCCCTATCCTCACCTCCACCCCCAAAACAGACAGGAGTGAATAACAGAAAGTGTAATGCTTTGCCCAGAATAATAATAAAATTACACTTAATATATGATGTACTGCACATCAGCCAAGCCCTTTAGAAGCAAAACTCATCAAGTTTGAGCAGATCATCTATTTCCGAAGTGCTTCAGGTAGACAAGATAGATAAACAGACGAAGATACAGAAAAAAGCTTCAAGACACATTATTATTGACCATAAATGCTAAATTATACAGACTCCAGAGGAATTCTTTTAGCTATTGTCTAAAAAGTGTATGCTTACATTTGTTTGGCATTTGCATGAAGAAATATTGGCAGGATATACCAGAAACTAATCCATTTTGAGGGGTAGAATAAGGACAGGAAGCAGAGTGATACTTTCTACAAAACCTTTCAAAGCTTTTTAATTTTTGGACCGCAGAAATATATCACCCACTCAAATTTTTAAAAGCAACACGTACATCTACACATAGCCTTGTTCATGTTGGAAGGCCTTTGGCATGAAGCATATGGGCGTGCCACGTTTGGTTTTCTCTGTGTTCCCGCAAAAGATAAAATCAAATCTCTCCATCAACCAGGGGTCCACAGGGATTGGTGTGTGTCATCACTATGGTTTCCAGTTTCTGTATTTGATGCTTTGACATCATGGGGTCTTGCTGACCCTGGACTGCCCCTCCAGGAATTTGCCAGTTCCTAGAGATGATAAAGGACTCATCTGCTAGTTTGCTTGGCACAGGCACACCAATCCATCCAGAGCCCACATCCAACCACCCTTACTGGCTTCCACACTCTGGGCCACCATCCATCTGCCCTAATCACCCCAGGACCAGATACAAGACGACTAGGTACAGCCCCTATTCCCCAGAGCCTGCTGAAATTATCAAACTGGCCAATCTTGAAGACTGCTTAGTCTGCCTGCCTATCTCCTCCCCACAGAAACCACAGTAAAGACTCTTGCTATGCCTTCCCCTGCTCCTTCTGCCTCCTGACCTACCCCGGTGCTTCTCACATGGTCCCCCAGGGCATATGTGGCCCCTTGACTTGGGATCTGCCTATATAGCAAACTGTCTTTTCAATGGCAGCTGCCTCCTCATCTGTTGGCCTTGCCATCCTGAAAAATAATACAGTCTGCGTTTTAAGTCCTTGGGCCTAGAGGAGAATACTGGTCTGCAGAGGGCACAGAGGACACGGGACAGAAATTTTAGTTGCAGTAAAAAGGCTTATAATTTGACAGAATGCTTCTAAAATGAAAGCCAAGAATGTGTTCTATCCCCAACAGGAGAAACTAGTGAAGGTTAGGACACATTTCTCAGGGCAGTTTGGCTGCCAACACCCCCGAGTATACTTCCATTAATAAATGTTACAGCCATGAGAATTGTATGCTTACGAATGAGCCCACAGTCGGCTCCGTTACCAGGTAGCTTATGCTCGTGTGCCTCCCCGCGACGAGGGAAGTGCTGGAGAGTGTCAATTCTGGAGGAATCATCACAAGCAGGCTTAGGCAATGTTTACATTGTGCATTTTTCACTTTAGGCAGGCCTCATACATGAAAATGAGCATTTATTACAAAACAGACAAAGAAGGGATGATTCCTCAGCCCATAAATAGTGTGTGCCGAAAGCGCTTTTCAGATGGGAAACTTAGGTGGCAACAGGAATTTGTCTGAATCGCCCACCACTTCACAGGAGCCGAAGGTAGTAAGTGGAGGTTATGACAGCAGCCTTCACACAATTGTCAGTGACTAAGGGCAGTGTCCAAGCCACTGCAGCCAAGGGTCTCTTAGTTGCCAGAGCAGCACAAAGAGCCTGAGAGTGAATTAGGAGAGAAGCCGGTCCCCACAGGAATGTGTGGGCAAGAATGAAAATTCACACATGAACCTCAAATGCTCTGGTATCGATTTTCTGAAATGACAGTTTAGAGGCTGAAAATTCACAATTCTTTCGCTTGGTCAAGTTCCTAATCTATTTTTGTTTATTTTTACGTATTTATGTATTTTTTGCCAACACCTCAAAATTGGGATATTTCACAAAGAAGAGTCAGATTTCTAGCTTTTACTGAAAAACTAGGAGATCTGGCCACACTGGGCCCATACTTGCAGGCAAAACCACCAGCTAAACTGAGCAGTGATAGCTGACCTCATTGCGCACGGACTGGGAACGGTAAAGCTTCTTCAGTGAAGGCTGAACAGGGGATGGGGTTGGGGAGCCAAATTGGAGTCTTGACAGAGGAACACAGCCTGAGCAAGGAGGTGGCCAAAGAAGCTGCATCAGTGACCGAATGGCTGGGGAGAAGCAGGTCTGTGAAATGGATGGGACGAGCCCGTGAATCAATCCTTGAAAGTCAGATGGCATCGACTTGAAAGTCAGATGGCATCGACCGAACACGCTGATCAATTCCAACCTCAGCTACCAAACAGGCAGCCTCATCCTTGCATAGAACCAAATTTGACGCATCAAGAAAAACAAGGCAAATGGTCAGCCCCAGAGTGAGCCACCTACTAGCCTATTTGAAATCGAGATGGTTTAAACAACACAGCTGGAAGGCAGAGGGGAACGCAAAACCGAAGGAAAGTCCATGTGCTTTGCAGCTGGGCCATCAAAGAGATTTCCTGTGGCTGCCAAAAAGAAAAATGGAGGAAAAGAAACAAACCCTAAGTCAACCCCCTTGTCCCTCCAAAAGAAAACAAGCTGTGTGTCCATTTTTCAACCCGGGCAGATCGTTTCCCTGGGGTAAGAACACAGCACACTTTCTCACTCACGGAATGTGACAGGAAGAGGGGGAGGGGCCAGGCCCGAGGAGTCAGTATTTGGTTTCCACCCTGTCCCAAGGCAGGGGACAGAAAGAACCATGCCTTTATACACAAATATCTTGGACAGACCAAAGTAGAGTCATAGATTTTATTTAATTAAAATAGATTAAAAACAGACTGTGTAAAAGAATTAGAATTCTCAATAATTTACTATTATTTACATTAGCAAATGTCGGTCGTTAGTAGACACTGAGCAGAGAAGCCTGAAGAACGGGGATCCTCTCCTGCGGGCAGGGGAGCCCCAGCTTCCCTCTGAGTCCCGTCCTTTCAAGTTCATTATGGCAACTCCGTCAACAAGCACTCCGGGGTGGTGTGGCTGCAGCACCGGGACCTGCGCCGAAGGCCCGGAGACCTGGCAGGCGGGGAAGAAATTTCTTTCCTCTGGGAAGAACCACCAGCGCCCAGTCCAAGCTCACACGGGCATCTGGTCAGCAATGCCTTCCCTGCCCTGCGGCTAATACCCCCCACTGTGCTGGGCCTTCTGCAAACACTCCTGGGGTTGACCCAAAGCCAGTTTCCAGATAAAAGATAAAAAGCAAAAAAAAAAAAGCCACACATCCCAGTTCTCAGAGAAATCCTGGATTACTAAACATCCCCTGCCTGTGGCATCTGGAATGGGCACTTGTCAAAATCTCCCTTAAGACGTTTTGTGCGTTTGCTGCAGGAGGGAATGGTGGGGAGTCAGGGTGGCCGGGGGGCGCTAGGCCACTTGAGGAGGGATGCACCCCCCAGGAAGCAGTAACAGTGAGAGCGAGCCCTGCAGGAACTGTCCCCGCCCCAGCAGTGTGCAGCCCTGTGGGCACCAAGCGGGGAGTGAGGACCCTCAGAACACAGGCCCTGTGGCGTCCGGCCATGACCTCAGCTTGCTGGAGATTCTGCGGTCAGCCTGGCCCACTAGGAGCCCCTGCTGCTCCACTTGCAGGACACCCAGGCCTCCTGGCGTCCGTGGGGCCTGGGACATCTGGGAGGTCCAGGGTTGGGGCAGCAGCTGTGACCATGGGGGCCAGCACAGTGGACAGCATCAGAGCTGGCAGTGAACAGCAGAGGCGGGGGAGGCCTGACAGAGAGGTTCAGTCCAAAATGTCTGTCTCGAAGGGCACCAGGTGGTAATACGACAGGTTGGTGACGTAGGCTGCTGGGTCATCCCCGTCCTCCAGCTCTGAGGGAAACTCACTGCCATTCTCAAATCTGAAATTAGAGAAAACAGAAGTGAGGGCTGGCTCATTGTTGGGATCAACACCAAATACCCGCCAGGCCCGTGAGCATGGCTTTCAATGCCCATAAGTAAGGGTGCAAAAAATCACAGCTACAAATTAACTGGTGAGCTGGCTCCTACTCTGAGACTGCCAGAGCTTCTGGTTTCCACTGCCTTGGAGACTGCTGTCTGTATTTGCTTAGACAACCCTTAGCGAGGCCTTCATCCATTCCTTCATTCACGGGGTGCTGATTTACACCTCTTGCTCTGTGCCCAGCACCGCGGCAGGCTGCAGGATCAGCAGTGAACAAGGCAGGCGGGGTCCGTCCTCAGGGAAGAGGCGCCTGCCTCGTGCTGGGCCCTGGGGACAGCTCAGAGAGGAGTGGTCACGGGCTCACAGCCTGACCACAGCCAAGTTGGCACATGGACGCACAGGAGGCCGCGGAGGGAACAGGAGGCTGGAGAAGAGCTGGCGAGGTGCATGGAGGTCGCAGGGAGAGATGCCTTCTAGCGGGGAAGCCTGCATGCGGGTACGTGTTTCATTCAGGCTCTGGCAGATAAGAAGCCTCCGAATGTGGGGGACTTACATGGGGTGTGGAGAACCAAGAAAAGAATACAAACCCCAAACATAAGGGGACGAAAAGCCCGCGATACTGACTCCCCACACACTGGAACTGTTTCTACTCCCTCCGCAGCCCACGCATGACCTCCTACATTACAAAAAGAGACTCCAAGTCTTAAAAAACACATAACAAAGAGAAAAGCACAAGAAGGACATTCTCCCCAGGAAGGGGGACGGAGCCGTGCTGCTTGTGGCATCTCCCTCAACCTATGAATCAGCCCAAACCCAGCAGGCTGCGTGGGAGTGTGGACAGAGGCAAGGGGCCGCCCTGCCCTCCTGGGAGTCACCTCAGGGCTACCTCCTGTGCCGCCCCTAGTGCCTGAAGGTGGCCCTGGCCAGTGACAACTGTGGGAACTCAGCCATATCTGCAAAGCTTTGCCATGGCCAAGATTACCGCACAGTCCAGGCCCCTGGCCAGACACACAACAAGGCAGGGTGAGCACATGTTCTCCCAAACCTAGTACGCTGTGCGTATCCCGCTGACCTCAAGGCACGGGGCTGTGAAGACAGCTTTCAGGCATGTGGATAAGAAAGGCTGAGGCTGCAGAGGAGGCCTCCCCTCTGACTCCACGGCCAGGCCTGGGGTGTGTTGTCAGCCCCCGCCTCAGCTTCCCTGTGCTCACGGTCCTGGCAACACGAGGCTGGAACAGAGGTCGTGGCACGAAGAGCCCTAGCTGTGGGTGGGAAAGCTACGGGGGCTCACGGAGACAGAGCAGCTCCCCAACTTCATCCCAGGGAATGAAATCTCTTCCCCAGACCAGGGCTGGATGGAAACCCAATGGGGAGCCTTGGGTGTGCTGAAAGGCTCAAGCCAGGCGAGGGGCAGAGCCACAGCGCCACCTCAAACAGTGTCCCACCACCTGCCCGTCCTCCCCACCCAGATCACAGGATGACCCTGAGGACATGAGGAAGGAGGGGCACTGGGATGCTCAGGGAAAAGAGAGTCACGGGGCTGAAGCTCCCTGAGGTCCCCACAGAACCGCCCAGTGCCTCGGCCCTAGATGACTTCCCAGAAGCCGGGCAATCCCTTCACCAGGTGAGACTGTCACCTGCAGAGTCCCAGAAGCCCCCACTGGCTCCATCTCTATCAGATACAACCATTTCCTGAGTGCAGGGTGGTCTCTGGGCCCCGGCACTGGTGCCCACTTGCCCCTGGGGCCAGACTGGGGGCAGCCTGCCAAGGCTCTGCTGTGGGGGCCCTGCCATGGGCCCGGCAGCACTGAGCTCACAGACTCGGGCCAGATGGTCAGCCTCGGGTGCCAGGGAGGACAGCCGCGCAGGGAGGTGAAGCCTCCAGTTCCACAAACGGGATCTCTCTGCGCCCTTGGTTGTTGTCAACTCCCCACCCGACAGCGGAGGCCATATAGTAACAGATCGTCCCTGCGAGACACTGGAGCTGGACCATTATCAACTCCACTGCACTGCCCGAGATTGAGCAGCCAGAGAGAGGCCCGGCAAGCCCGATTCAGAACTCCCTCCAAATGCTCCCCTGAGCACCATGCGTTTCTTTGTTAGGCTTTCCTGGGATCATGGAGATTTTCTCGGCCCTCTCTCCCTGTGAACCAGGCGTCCCGGAGCAGGTGGCCGCCTATTCAAGACCTGTCATTCCTGTCCACACACAGCCCGGGGCTGCCACAAGACCCACACCCCTGGCCCGGCTTTCTTCTCTTGTGCGTTTCTCCTCAGCTCCAGCCCGCTCACAGTTGAACCTGCCTCCTAAATCTGGCCTCATTCCAGGGTGCCGAGGGCCTCTTGCAGATAGAAAGGGGTCCCCTTGGAAACACTGGAGACTCAGAGCCTGCACAACTGGTGATGAGAAAGGGTCTCCATCTGTCTTCTCCCCCAAGACAGTGCCTGGCCAGTAACTACCCCTGCCAAGCTAAAAGGCCTCTTTCTTTCATCCGTGATTACACCCCAGCCTTGTACCTCCACGGTGCCAGCCTGTTGGCATGGGGGACCCACAGGGAATGAGTGAATGAGCTATGTACAGGGGGGTCAGGGCAAGGGACACAAAGGGGCAAAGCAGGTCAGGAAAGCTGTGGCCTTGGCCCCACCAGGACAGCCTCTGCCACCAGCAGTTCCTGACCCCTCCACTGGGAAGGATTCTCGCACCGTCTACCTGAGAGACACACTGGTTTCTGTTAGCAGGAGCCAGTCCCACAAGCCTGACAGGGACCCCCCACCCCCCGCCCCCCGCCATGCTCAGTCACGGAGCAGGGATTCAGCAGAGCAGGCCCAGGCCACTGGCTGGAGCCCAGGTTCATGCTAGGGTCACAGCCCTGCAGCCCACAGGCCCGGATGTGGGTCTCGGCACATGTGGCCCGCCTAGTTCTAGTTTCAATCTGCTGCTGTGGAGGGCTAGCAAATGGGTGGGGCAAGACCCGGGCCATCCCCAGGCTATGTCATTCCTGAGCCCACAGGGAGACTCTGCAGCCAGAGCTGCCTCTGTGGGGCTCTCAAGCGGGATGTTTTACACTCATCATCTGTGGTCTTCAACACAGCCCATGGTGAGACAGCAGAATGGTCCCGCGAAGGCAAGAGAAGTCAGGAAAGTTTAAATAACTTTCTGAGCTCATGCAGCCAAGAAGTAGCCTGGATTTGGCTATGTCAGGAAACAGAGGCCAAGCTGTCTGGGGACCTGGTGTCCCTGTAATTCACCATGAAGATGCCTGGCGAAGAGCCGAGGCTAAGGTGCTGCGCCTCACAGTGCCCCCAGTGTCGGGCTCTCTGGAGCATGTGTTACAGTCAAACCAGAGACAGAAAGAGCAAAGAAGACAGTGGTGGCCTTGGCTATCCAGCCTCAGCAATCATCCAGCCTCAGTAATCATCCAGCCTCAGTAATCTGACACATCCTATACCTTCAGCACAGGGCCAGGTGGCCATGAGGCAAACATGTCCCCATCCCAGGGAATCAGGACCACTGAGTGTGAGGCATGTGGCCCTCCTGGCCCTGGAGACAGCATCACACCCTTTAGGGCCCCACACAAACCAGGCCCCTGGCCCTGCAATGTCTCCTAAATGCCCCTCAGAGCCAGCAACTCCGTCCTCCACAGATTTACTAATCAAGATCTCACGAGACTCTAGGAAAGGCAAACTTTTAAAATCAGTATCCAAATGCAGGCAGGAACTGCTGGGTGGCTCTGGGTACCCACTTCCTTCCATAAGAACAGTGAGCCCCCATCCCACAAGACAAACGGCTCAGGATAATCTATGAAACAATATTCCAATCAGCGTACTTACAAATGCTCTGTTGGGTCCATGCCCAGGTGCTGGTCTCTTCCATTTGGTATACTGTGGTCAATAACTATTGTTTCGGTATTTGCTAAACAAAATCCATTGGACCTCATGATTTCTGAAAATCAAAGCAACAAGGTGAGTTCTCAGGAGGGTTCGGTGCTTGAGGTTTTGGAGCTTGGGGCTTACCCCCATCCCCCTACTTTCTCCTCCATCTGTTGCCCGTGCCTCGCTTCCACACTGTAAGAGAATGCTGTGCACCCAAGACCCATTCAGAGCTCTGCCCCACAAAGTCAGGGAAGAGGCCAACCCCTCAGAAGCCAGGCCTGCTGTGGGTCTCTCCCCTTACAAAGATGCTCTGGCTGCCTGAGCTCTCTCTCCACATGCCCTTGGCTGTGGGCTTAAAGCTAGAGTACAAAGAAGGAGTACTGGGCTCGAATCTGTGAGTCTGCACGTGAGAGCAGATCCATGGCACAGTGACGCGTGGCTCTGCCCAGGGTACCTCGACTTGCTGAGCTCTCACTGTGGCTGAGACAGGAGTAACAATATTGACGGCCTGGGTTGTTGTTCTGATTGCGTGAAATAGGTCTGCGTTTTATTTTATTTTTATTTCAATAGTTTTGGGGGTACAGGTGGGTCTTGGTTACATGGATAAGTTCTTTAGTGGTGATTTCTGAGACTTGGTGGCTCCATCTTTTATCCCTCACCTCACGTCCCCAAACTCCATGATATCATTCCTATGCCTTGGCATCCTCATAGCTTAGCTCCCACTTCTAAGTGAGAATATACAGTATTGGTTGCCCATTCGTGAGTTACTTCTCAGTGTGCATTTTAAATCAAAGGGTGACTTTCACTGTTTTGCTGCATATAAATGTAATGATTTATGTAAATGATTTTTTTTCCCAAACAAGCACAGATTTGGGTAATTTAGAAAAGCCAACAAAGAAAAACGACTTCCTACGTCCACACTGGCTGCATGGCGTGAGCTAGAGAGGGTGGGAGTCTGCGCTCGTCCTCGGCTGGAGGGGCTGGAACGGAGGATGAGGAGCCAGGACAATGAGCTCCATGGCCTTGGGACTCAGTTTTCTCCAATGGAAAATTTCAAAGTTGTATTAATCTCTGAGGATCCTTCTCACTCTGAAATCCCATGAACTCCTGGATCGCATCACGCCATCTGGTCCATCCAGGCATAAAAAGCACGAGTGGTGGACTCTCTGCTGTAGCATTCGTTTGTATTTTCTGAGGGACCGCGTTTCCGTCCCCTCGCTCGGCAGATGAGACCTGGTAGCCATGGCCAGTTCTTGGCACTAAAGTCCTCCAGCTGCCTGTGAGGCTGCCCATCTCCGAACCTCAGTTCTAAGACCTGGACCACCGTCATCCGCTCTTTCGAATCAGAACCTCTACGTACCCCATCATAAAAGCCATGCCTAAAATATACTCCAAATTCCTGGTGCCTTCTCAAATCCAAGGGATTATCTTATTCCCATTCGGGGCACAGCTCCCAACAGCCCTCCCCTCCCCCGGCACGCCACACCCAACAGGAACATCGCTCACTGCCCCATCGGATGCCTTAGTTGCTTGGGGGACTGTTTTCCTTTATTTTTTCTTACACGTTACCACAATTCAGACTGGTTTATTCCTGCGTATGGATTTGCTTTTTTTGTGTGACTGAAATAAGTCACTTGCTGTTTAATCTTTCTAGGTATTTGGTTCTCAGTTCTTTGAACTGTTTTCCAAATGAAGAGAATTAGGGAAATTACACAAAAATGAGGAAAGAAAAACACATTTCCTCCTCACCCCCCATAGGATCAAAATGTCGATTCATCAGTCAGATTCATCAAGTCATTGCTAAAATTCTGCCTGCCTCTCTGGAGAAGGGGCCACTGGTGTTTCATGGGGACATCAGTCCTCAGCTCTTCCCTGCCCTCCTCCCTGTACCACTGGTAGGGCTGCAGGTGCTCAGAAGGAGCTCTACGAAGCAAAGAGGAATCCGTGCCCAAACTCTGGGATCAGTCACACTTCCAGGTGCCAAAGGGGCGAACGAAGATGCTTACCAAAGCCTCACTGAACAGGCGGACTGTGAAAACTGCTACATCCTAACAAGATAAACTAAGAGTCCCTCGCCTCTCTATCTAAAATGGGTGGCAGCACAGAACCACTCCCTTTATTGTTTTTATTAACTCTGACCCAAATCTGTCTTTTATGGGAAGCACATAAAACCTCAGAGCAACCTCCATACAGCCAGCTGACAGCCCCTCCCCTTTCTCCCACCCCTTTTGCAAAGGGAATTTGGTTGGGTGGTGGCCTACGAGTTAAAACAAATGTCACTGCTGCAAATCACTTCTGAATAAAATTCTGAAGAGGTATTTTACATGCCTAATCTTTCCTAAATGTGAAATTTGGAGCTCTATAAAATGGGAGTCTTTACCAGTCTCCCAAAACATAAATTTGTAAGAAATCATTCCTTAATTGCCTGTGACAAGGAGCCTCGTGCACATACATGTGGTTTAATTATTTGCAAGGCTGGCTGGGCCCTGGAGAACACTAAGGTATGTCTGGTGCCTCCTGCATGGACCTTGCTGTCTCAGGCCCGGCCCAGAAAGGGACTTCGCTTAGACTCTCATATTTCACTAAAGATGGTCCCTGAGAAGCTCCGGTTCCCTCCTGGATCCCGCCTCTGCTCTCAGCCCCAGAACCTCAGAAAACCTTGGGGTAAGCCAGGCTACACAGCTGGCAGGTGTGCAGCAACCTTTGCAACATTTATTTACAACTCGGGTTCAGAAAGGGATGGTTTATTGAAAAGCAAATTGTCTTAACACCTAGGGAATGTACACAGTTTTCATATGCCTGCGCTAGTTGAAAACGGAGCACAGATTCTATAACAGTTTACATTTTTATTTATTTGGTCACTTTAACAAAACAGTCCTAAGAAAAGCTGTACAAATTAGAACAGGTCCACAGTTTAAAAAAAGAAGAAAAAGTGTTTAGCTCTAGCAAGCCTCTAATTGTAGGGACCACTGGTTCAAGGAGATCATCTTGCTAAGTCTGTAGTCTGTGCCCCATTTCAACCACGGACAGCAGATATTTAAATGGGATGGGTCAGTTTTCACGAGAGGATGGTGTAGACCATGACTTTGTTCCTTCAAGCAAAAGGCTTCATTGAGATTCATTCCTACAGGACCAGGGAGCCTGACGTGTAACAAAGTCCACTGGTAACTTGCCATGTGCCTTCGACCAGAGCAGTAGCAAGGATGGTGTGTCTGCAGTGTGGACAGAGCACTAGCAAGGATGGCGTGTCTGCAGTGTGGAATGCTGGCTCCTCAGGAGGCATGAGCAGGTAGGAAAGCACGCACACGGTGCAGCTGGGGAAGGCTCTGCTGCTTACGCCTGCAGAGCAGGTGACTTCTTGCTCAGTTTCCTCATCTGTACGATGGAAATAAAGGTATCCACTCCAAAGGCCATTATGCAGACTGACTGAGATGATGTATGTCAAGAATCTAGCAAATGCTGAGGGCTCGGTGAAGAGTCCTGAGTGGTCTATCATGATCATTCAGTCCCCTTTTATGAACTGGCTAACGGGGCTACCCCATACAGTAAAAATAAGGTTGACGTTATACAGAAGCCAGATTAATGAGAAACAGTGTTCTATTTCCAGGCCCCCTAAACCTAAATAATCAGATTTTGTGGCTGAAATTGATGAGTCCAAGTAGCCGTATCAAGGCTGAGGTCCGCATTTCCTCACAGCTATTATGATCATCGTGAGTAATGTCCTCACATCCATTATGACGTAAATAAAAAAGAACGGAAGAAAATGTTGTAATTCCAGAAAAATTGTAGCATCTGAGCCGCTCTTCACACATACAATGTGAATGTCTTAGGAGTCAGCTTAGTATCTACGGCAAGAATCTTTGACCGATGTAGCCATTTTAATCACATACATGAGTGATTCCATGAAATAGTTCACTTTCAAGCTATTTTTTTACACTCGTATTTTTCCAAATGAAAACAGCCCTGCCCTTCCATGGAAATTGACATTGGCACAACACTGTTAACTAAAGGAAAGACCTCCTTCACTCGAATTTCAACAGTTTTTCCACCAATGCTCCTCTTTTCCGTGCAGGCCCCAATCCAGGATCTCTTGTTGCAATGTGTTGCTCTGTCTTGGTCTTCTACGACCTCTGACGGTTCCTTCATCTTTCCTTGTCCCTCATGACCATAATACTTTAAGAGAGGACTGAGCTATTTTAGCAAATGTCCCTCGATTTGGGTTTGTTGGCAGTTTCAGAGTGATTCGATCGAGGTGATGCATTTTTGGCAGGAATCCCACACAGTGACGCTGCATGAGACCTGGAGTGGCATATGGGCGTGGGGGTGATGCCGACAGGTCCTGCTGCTGGTGAGGCTGCTGTGGAGTGCCTGGTGAGGAGGCTTCTGCCAGCTGTTTCCACAGTGAAGTTACCACCTTTCCCTTTGTAGTTAATAATTGAGGGAGGATGCCTCGAGGCTATGCAAATCCTGTTTCTCCTCAAAGTTTCACTCGTGAATCTTTGCATCTGTCAGTCAATGGATCTTCTTTGCACCAATGACCAGTGTGTCTATTTGCCTGATGGCAATTTTTCTGTTTTTTAGATGCAGCTATGTTTTCATAGACCCACAAACGTGTCGCGACCCCTCACTTCAATAACTCTATTCCTTTTCTCAGCAGACACGCAGTCTCAGCCGTGAAAGCATTCACACTATAGCCTTCCTCCCTTTCACCTCCTCTCTCCCACTGTATGTCCAATGCACTCCAGCAACGGAACAAAACCCAAAGCAGTGCTCCTTTATTAACTGGCTAACTGGGCTACCCCTACATCGTAAAACTAAGGTTGAGATTGGCCAGAAGCCAGATTAATGAAAAATAAAATTGTGATTCATTTCCAGGCCTCTTAAACCTGAATGGTCAGATTTTTGTGGCTGAGATTGACGAGCCCAAGTTGCCAGATCAAAGCTGAGGTTTGCATTTCCTTTTACATTGCACAGCTGCAGCCACGGGGCAGAACGCTCTAGATTCCTGCTTTCATACATTTGATAAGCATTGAGACAAAGCATGATTAAGGCTGCACTGGTTGGAAGGATTGCCAAGGGCTGCAGTCCATCCTGACTGTCCTCACCGTGGCCCCGGGATGTGCAAACGGTCGCCGCGACTGCTAGCACCAGGCGCCATCTAGTGGAACTCCTAACAACTAAACTGTCCTAGAAAAGCCAAGGCACTTGGCGCCTGCAGGTCCCCATCGCCAGCCTAAATCGAGAGCAGAGACGGTCACAGGGCCTGTCCCCCATGGCACCGCCTCCCTACACGTATGTCAGTGGCATAAGAAATGGAGGAGGAAGGCGGATGCGGGCTCTCGGCTGGGAATGAATGAAATTCACCAGGACAGCAGTGGACAGGCAGGTTTGCACGAAGGACCCTGCAGGGCCACAGTTCATGCAACAGCTGGCCAGTCCACCCGCAGGGGGCTGAGGCTCTGGCGTGGAGGCGACAGAATCAAAAGGCTAGCATGGGCCAGGCTCTGAATGCCCAGAATGACCAAGGACTTGGGCTTGATTGTGAGAGTGAGCTTTTAAGACAGTTAACGAGCCAGGTGCAGTGGCTCACGTTTGTAATCCCAGCACTTTGGGAGGCTGAGGCGGGCAGATCACAAGGTCGGGAGATCAAGACCATCCTGGCGAACACGGTGAAACCCCGTCTCTACTAAAAATACAAAAAAAAATTAGCCGGGCGAGGTGGCGGACGCCTGTAGTCCCAGCTACTCGGGAGGCTGAGGCAGGAGAATAGTGTGAACCCGGGAGACGGAGCTTGCAGGGAGCTGAGATCGTGTCACTGCACTCCAGCCTGGGCGACAGAACAAGACTCTGTCTCCAAAAAAAAAAAAAAGAAAGAAAAGACAAAAAGACAGTTAATGAGCCTTAGAGGTCAGAGCTTTGGGATGACTGGCTCAGTCCTCGGGTTCATGTCCTGGAGAAAGGTGGAGGCATGAGAGAAAGCCATGTGGACAGTCTCAGGTGACGCCAGGGTTCTCTGGACCCCACACCTCAGCCTGGGGACCCACAGATCCAGAAACATGCCAAATATGGGACCAAGACTGAGAACATGAAGTGCCTATGTGTGAGCCATTTTCTCAAAGGGATGTTGGGGCTATTTATTGTCAATAGTAATTTCATTAAAAAGCATTCCTGAAGGGAGGTATCTGCCATGGTGTGGGTGGACGTATCGTCTCACCATTGGCAGGTTAAGCAGCTCTAGATTAAGAAGCTCCCTTAGACGCAGTGAGGGGCTGGCTAGACCGGGAACAGAGATCGGAGGGTCTGAGGGGTTCAGAGAGGGAACATCAGACTCGGTGACCGGCAGAGCAAAGGAAGAGGAGGAAACACCCAGGGCACTTGAGGCCCTCGGGTCTGCAAGGTGCAAGAGGCTGAGCCGCCTGCCGCCTCCTGCAGCAGCACCTCCGGGCCCCCAGACTTTGCACTGAGACTGTTAGCCACAGGCTGGTGCAGACTCCACGGTTAGGCAGCCCCAGATGTTAGAATGTATTCTGTGCTGAGCCAATGTCATCCACAGTTACTTCTACCCACAGGTCCAGTGCCAGCCCCCACGTGATCCCTTCCTGTGGCTGCCCGCCAACACCTGAGGGTGGCATCCCCTGCCTCCTAGCTGCCCTTCCACATTTCCTCCCATTCTTTTGACCCCTGTCCACCAGACACTCTTCTCTGGATGCAGTAATTCGTCTTGCTGCATCCCGGGGACAGTCTTGACTTGCATAAGGAGGCCAGGACCCCTGCCTTCCTAGACCTGGACACTGCACCCCCATCACACACGGAAGGCCACAAACAGCAGTGGCTGAAACCTGTCCTCAGCCCTTGCAAAAAGGCAAACAAAACATACTTTCAACTGCAATATGAGACTCTACGTTTCTCCCTGTTATATTTCGTCTCACTATGCTCGTCCCCTTAGGGTACACGTGGGCCATGTGTTCATCCACATCACTAATAGAAACAGGAGGCCAGGGCGGGCTGCGGCACATGCCAGGCACTGTGCCCCAGGAGCTTCTGCATCAGAGGTGGCTCCAGGGAGCTCTAATCTGTCCCTCTCACTTGGGGGCCAGCATCTCCCACAAGGCAAGGCACTAGCAGGACGCTGTCGCTCCTCGATCTCATTTGTGGCAACATGAACCAGCCTGTAGGTATTATATTAAGTGAAATAAGCTAGACACAGAAAGACAAATGTCTCAAGATCTCACCCATATGTGGAATCTAGAGAAGGGGAGATCATAGAAGCAGCAAACAGAACAGTGGTTACCAGAGGAGGGAGGGGCTCACCGGTCAGTAAGCACAAAGTGACAGCGCGAGGAATAAGCTCTGCTGTGCTACTACCGTACAGTAGGGTGACTGGGGTTAACAGTACTGCTTTGTGTATTTCAAAATAGCTAGAAATAGCTAGAATGTTCTTTGCATGTTCTCACCACAAAGAAAAGATGAATGTTTGAGATAACAGAAATGCTAAATACTCTGACTTGATTTTTACACCATATACACATGTATCGAAACATCACACTTTACCCCATAAATATGTACAGTAATTATGTGTCAGTAAAAACAAACAAAAAAAGTAAAAAACAAAACAAAGCAGCAGCCACAGACAGGGTCAGGCATGCCACCCCCCTGCACACACACAATCCTATTAATATCTACAAACCCATCTTCCACTCCAGGTTCCGGAACCTGCCCACCCCACCCAGTTCTCCCAAACACACGATTCAGAATCCCACCTGTGCTGTGGTCAGTAATCAGCAAGGTCACATTCACAGCCAACAGCATCAATCACCCATCTCCACTGTCCTCTGGTGTCCCCAGTTCCTTCTGAGTCAGCTCTGGGCTCAGACCCCCTCTCATCCACTCTTCTCCCTTGACATCCTTCTGAGTCCTCCATCCCTCCGTCTCCCCTGCTTCCTCCACCATTCAGAAATGGAATGATGGACAAAGGACCCCCTGCTCTCCTTCCTGCAGACCACAGCGTCATGGAGGTGCTCTCCTTTGGCTGAGCCATGTCTCCTCTCATGAGTCCCCCCTTCCCTCCCTGTCCACCAGGCAGACCATGGCAAGACCACACGCAACTGTCACCTCTTATGTCACAAGGTGACTGCCACTTGCTTGGGAAAATCCAGTCCTAGAGACTCCCAGGACAGAGCTCTTATCCCTACAAAAATCCTCCTCAGCAGCCTTTGCCGAAATAGTGCTGCAAAAACCAAATCTAGTGTTCTCATGACACCTGCAACCCAGATCTTAGTAAGTCACCAAACTTGGACTGGTCAAGAGGTCCCAGATTCCCCTTCCTTCCTTCCTGCGCCAGGAGCCACAATCCCACATCCACACTAAGGACACCTAAAGCCTGTGCGTCCCTTTGGTTACGGCTGCCCCTAAAAGCAAGAATCAAATTCAATGCCACGTGACACGGGCTGTCTCGCTTCAGCAGGCTGAACGGTGGATTCCAGTAGTTTGCTTCAAACTCTATCATCAGTGTGTCTGTTCATCGTTATACCGTTTCTGAAGTGAGCTCCAATTTACACGCCAAACAAACCCCTGAGGACGCAGCAGGAGTAGAAACCAAAGGAGGAAACACACTGCTTAGGCGGATCAGGCAACAGCCTCTCCCTGTGCGTTCCCATTTCTCTCCGATTGTCTTTCTGGAAAAGCGTGGCCCAGCCGCAGAGACAGCCAACCGTGAGGGTTTCTCTGAAGCCTCAGCCTCAACAGCAGCCCCTCCCCCCACACCTCCCTTGCGGCTCTTACCTGATATTTTGACTGGACTTTGAAAGCTGGGTTGAATTTTATGTACATTATCATTTTTTAACACCTGATCCAGAGGAGATCTTTCGAAGAAAGTGAGCACAACTTCTGATCTAGAATACTGGGGAGAAATACAGGGATTACTAAACATGAACGACCTCCATATGCTGGCCCTGTCTGTCTACCAAGAGAGGGGCCCTGCTTGTCCGCAGAGGTGGCCCGTGTGATGCAAACGCCCCGGGAATGTCCAGATGCTCCCATGGCTGGCCACAGGGGCGGGGCTGCCATCACTGCACAGCCCTTATGCGCTCATGACCCAGGCAGCCGGAAGGCAAGGTCTCAGCGACCGAGGTAGTGGAGGGAATCATGGCTCCGATGTGCCAGTTTCACTCATGTCTCCCTCCGTCTATAGTCCACTGTAGTCTGTGTCCATTCTCCCCATGTGCCAGAAAGAAACGGAAGCTGCCAGGAGCTAAGGAGGTCTGCCTGGCACTCAAGTCCAGGTTCTTAGCCACCACTCATGACAAAGCCCACAGGCTTACGTGGAAAGGGAGCTGATGGTCAAATCCGTGTGCAACGTGCCTCACTGTGCTGACACCAACATTCCGCTTGGTTTCCACATGTCTGTTCTAAAATCCCCTGAGCAAGACGGGGGATTCTGAGCAGAGGCAGAAAGCAAAGTCCCCTGCAGCCAGAGAGGCCCCACGCCCGCCTACTCATGCCTCCTCGCATCCCTCGTTTTCACTCTTTCCCCAGGGAGGAAATACCGGGGCCACTGGAGCCCACAAAAGCCTTCCTTCTCCTGATTACACCTGCACACCTCCACCCCCATCCCCATCGCCTGGTACTTCCGGGGTGGGAACACCACGGCTAAGTGAGATGGAGCAAGCAAGTCAACTCTCTGGAGGGACGGACAGCGCCTCCCATCTCCCTGCCCAGCCCGGGTCCTGGCCGCACTCACTTTACAGGGCATGCTTATGATCGTCTTCAGCAACTTCTCCACCTCGTTAAGCCTGGTCTCTATGTCGTGGGCTTCCTTTATGGCAACCAGTCCTAGGATTGAGACAGAAATGCTCAAAGTCAGAAAAGCACACCAGGAAATAGCTTCCCAATTCAACATACAACAGGTGCCCACGAACCGCCGGGGTCGTCCTCTGTAATGAGACGTCGGGAACGTTCATTCAGCCTTATGCACCTATAGCCCCATCCTGGAAGTCCTGCTCTAACCCTCATCCAATGTTTCACCTACCCAGTGATCCGTTAAGACTGTGCTGGAGTCGGTACTGTCAATCTGAAAAGGGGATGGGAGGTGTAAGATCCCTCCAAGTGGGGCAGCCTGGTGAACTCCATAATCACCCCGGCCACAGCCAGAGCTCAGCCCAGGGCGAATCAGGCCCCACTGCATGGTGGCTACAGCCAGGGGTGCTGGCCCAAGACCGGCCCACCCCCAATGACACAGGGAAGGACTCGCTTTGCCGGCCCCAGCTGCTCAGATCGCAGACCCCTGGAAATGGAGCCCCTGTTTAGACCAGTTATTTACATGCCACGTTCACAAGGAAAAAAGTCAGATCTCTGCCTGGAGAAAACCAAAGTGGACATGACTCATGCCACTTTCCAGGAATCTGAGCCTCTGTGCTTCCCACGGTCACCACATGCCCAAGTGGCTGTGAAGCAGTACAATATTTTATTTTTAAAATACCATAGCTCGAGGCATGAAGACGCAGGTGCTTTTCTATCTCCCCATGAGAAGCACAGAGCAGAAGCCTTCCCATCACAGGTTCTATCCCTCAGCTTTGCAGGGATGGGGAAGTAGGTGCCCAAGGACACTGGCGTCTCCCCCACACTTGTGTGACTGAGGCTGATGCAAGTGTGCCTGTGAGCGGCGATTAAACCACAAAGGCTTAAGTCCCAGAACTATTAATGGCAAAAACCGTGATTACTGCAATTACTTTTGCACCAACCTAGTATTACTGGTCATGGAGACTAGGTTTTTCAGAAGTTCTGGTCTGATTTTGTTTTACGGGGAAAAGCCTGTTCAGTTTTCAAGCAATTCGTTGAATAGGTCTATAAAAGAGATAAAAATAATTTCTTAAACTTTCTGACTGAAATTAAGAGGTCCCAGAGCATAGAGTCCATGGAAACTCCCACCAGGGCTCCCCAGACATAGGTCAAAGGCACTTCTGAAAGAGTGGGCTACCGCAGGGGCATCCCCGTAACTGGGGTCAGTGGAGACCAGGAACCTTCTCCCCACTGCCTCAAGCACATGCCAGGTGCCTCTTCGCCTGGCTCACCTGGAATCCCTGCTCGGCAGTGGGGCTCTCTGATCCTGCTCCCTCCACTGACCTCAGCCACACTGGCCCAGGCGGCCAGCTGTGCAGGGCACAAGGGTCCAAGAGGGGCAGGGCCCGTGGTCTGTGACTCAGCCACTGGAGAACCCTGGGGCCTCTGTCCATGCGGCCTGTGCCTATGCCCAAAGGAAGGGACTGGATGACTCTGCCGTCTTCCCCAGCCTCACCCCACCTCCCCACGTGCCCGGGCAAGCAGAGTGGAGAAGGAAGAAAAAGAGAAAACAACAAAAGTACCAGACTCTCTGGATGCCTCCACCCCAAGCCCTGCATTCCTTGCATAGAATTTCAAATATTTATATACCACAATTTACATAGAATTTCAAATATTTATATACTACAAGAAGTATATATGCACCACTCTTTCAACCAAAATGCTTTGATCCCCTGCTTGCTAAGGGAAGTGTACCAAGGAAAAGACAGCCAGTTCAAAATTCTTAAAAAGTTGTTTTTAAAGAGAAGACAATTATATAACTCATTCCCACAAAGTGCTTCTTTATTCTAAGACAAGTAAAACTGCTGTTATATTTCAACTTTTATTACAGCTACAATACTAGTTTTCGGTTGATCAAATGAATGACACAGTAGTTGTATTCAGTTTACAAGATTGGCTTCTTGCAGAGTCAATGTATCCAGCATACGTATACCCATTTCATAGGACAGAAAGCATGATCCAACAATGTACAGGTATTACAGAGATTTATAATGCTTGTATCTTTGCTTTGCTGACATATCTGTGGCTACATCTTTGATTTAACTAATGTGCAGCTCTTGGTTGGGTTGATAACCTCCAAGGGTAACATTAGGGAGATAAATATATTTTGCGGTACACTGATCTCCTTTTAGTATGGCCAAACTTAGCAAATAAGACACATGATGCCTAATTAGACATGAATTTCAGATAAACAATGGATAATGCAATAGCAGGGACAGACTTACACTAAAAACATATTTGCTATTTATTTGACATTCAAACTTAACTTTGAGTCTGGTATTTTATCTGTCTACGCTATCTTCTTTATGATCCATCTTCCAGACTGAACTATGGAAAGGCAAGTGTACCCTGGTCAGGCCTCTGGAAACTATGTTAGGATTTCAGCTGGGCATGCAGACCCTTCATGACCTGATCCTAGCCCACCTACTTCAGCAGCTCTGTGCCCTGTGAAACACACCCTCAAGCCAACCCCGAGAAACAGGGCCTCGCTGCCCAACAGCCTCTGGGTGAGCTGTCCGCCAGCCTCCTCCACCTCCAGGCTCACGATGGGGCAAAGCCCACTTAGGCAAAAGCCACCTGCTCTGTGATGATGGGACTGGGTCCTGCCTGTGGGCTCAGAAGGTCCATCCCACCTTCTACAGCCTCTTGCTCCTCTGCAATGACTGCGCCTTCACCTGGGGGTCTCCGCAGAGACTAGTGGGAGCCATAGGGCAGGAGGTACCTCAGGCTCATCTCCCTGTGACCAGCAACCAGCACAGTGTCTGGCCCCTGCAAGGGATGCGATGTTCGTTGGCTGTGCTGGCAGAACACACTTGCATCAGACGAGGCAGAAGTGGACGGGTGTTAGTTAGTCTTCTGTGTGTGCTCCAGCTGCCCTGGGGCAGCCCCCAGTCTCAGTCTTCAGCCTGACCCCAGGCAGAACCGACCAGCAGGCTCTTCGGTCACCAGCCTTGAAGGAGAGTCTCGAGGGCCAAGTGGCACTAAAACTGCTGAGCCACGCTCATTTGATTTTATTTGTGGAAATGTGCAGAACCACATTGTTTCCCTTCACCTGTTTTTATGTTTCTGAATGGAAGCCAAGTGGTCTTCCTTGGCTATGTAAACATGCTTAACAACCAAACAAAAGGAGCCTGATAAAATTTAGATGGGGAAAGTGAAGAGCTGGAATCCCTCCCTGCAAGCACAGAAATGATGGCTGCTTATTTTTTAAGCTCTAGGCTTTTAGTTAGGGGCACATCCATTATTTAATTCCCCATTCCAGCTCCTGGTGGCAACCAAGCTGGCAATGTGGATCACCTTTCTCAGGACACTGTGGTCCTTTCTCCATGGAGACAGTTCACCGGAATGACAACAAGCACTGGTCCTTTCCCCAGGAGGGGCCGCAGCTAATTCAAGAAGTGATGAATTCTGCTGCACTGACTGAAACCCACCTGATTGACAGCAGCACAGCTGGGCTGCGGCTGCTCCAGCTGCTGCCACCAGAGCTCCAGAGCACAGCAGCAAGAATGCAGAGCGGGGCGCCTTGAACAGCAAAGGCCTCCCCGCCCCCAGTGAAGACGTGGCACCAGCAAGAGACCACAGACAGCCTGGCCTTCTTAAAATGCCACAGCTCCCATTTCCCAACTCCCCTTCGATTGTTTTTAAAATGTTTTAAATACACTAAACGGATGGGTGTATTTAATGTGGAAGGAAAACACTTTTTTTAAAAAAACTGTACAACTGTCCAGTGCAAAAATGAAAGAAATCTTCATCTTGCAATTCCTGATTGTTTCATACTCACTAAGGTCTCTCAGTTTCACAGCTGGAAACCTCACACTCCTGCTGCCAGCACGCCAAATTACAAACACTCGAATATATAAAGAAAAAGCTCTGAGCAGAATCCACGCTGAAAGACACTGCCTTATTCTCCAGGGACAGATGAGAAGAACTATGCGTTTAAGAAGTACTGCTTCCCCCGAAGCAAAGTATTGTGTGCCTCTGCGCTTCTTTCTATCCTACCTGGTGTACTCTTCCTTTGTTACTCAAGTGCTTTGGCTTCCAATGGCTAGTGGAACTTCTCCAAACGTTGTCACCTGTTTACCATAAGCAACGATTTGAAAACTGGTTTTCAAAACTGCACTTAATACAATAACAAGATTATCTAAAACTTTTGGTTTTTATATTCCAAATATTGTTGATGGTATGATAATTCTGTGGGCTTCCTGTCCGACTTAGCTTTACTGTCTGAGATCGCACGGATGAATACCACAGGCGGGTTGAGAGGGTTGCCTATTCTCCCAAGCGAGCCTTAAAACGGAAGCAGAGCCTCTTGATTCGGCTCTTTCGGGACTGGCCAGCAGGGGGCACGCGCACTCTGCGGAAAAACCAGGATGGCCTTCACTGCAACGCACGCTTAAGGAAGTCAGCCTCAGAGCTCACAGCCCCGGAAACTATTCTAATTTCTGATAAAGAATCACTAACACAACTTTAACTTTTAAAATTTCATCCTACCCAATTGGTGACATCAGAATTTCATCCAGATGTAGCCAAACAATTAAGAATTTGAAACCAAAAAATTGGTAGCACAATAAGTGGGCCAACTGGACACACATTTGGGGGCCAAGTATCAGCAGGTGTCTGCCAGCGTCACTTTTCTTCCTAAAGGAGTTTGGCCTCGAAAGTTGGAAACACAGCGTTGTATCTGTCAATTTGGGGATTCGCTGCTTTGTGCAAACACAAACACCTGATTTGTTCTTGGAATCAGAACGGAACGCACTGGAGTCAGCACAAAGATCTGACAGTGACAGCCAACATTAACAAACGCGGCTTCCGAATCGCACAAACCTGGGGCCAGAGTCCCACTTTTTTGGGAAGTGGAGGCTTCGGGCTCAGCACTTGTGGTAACTGACCCAGCTTCCTCCAGGGAGGACCTGGGCCATCTGACCCTGGCGGGAGAGCTTCCTGCTGCTGCAATTCTGAAACTAAAGGCAGGATGCTGCTCGGGTGCGCGGGGAGGCCGAGCATTAAAGACCGTCCACTACCCAAAGAACAAGCCTCTCTGAGTACTCAGAGGACACGTTCCCACACGCACACAACAGAGAGCCCCAGGGAAATGCTCTGCAAAGTGAACTTTCAAACTGAGTCAAACCATAAATTACATTTATCTTGTTTCCCTTCCATTTAACAAATGTGCCCATCAGCACACTACACAGATGCAGGGGTGAAGGGGGGAACGCAGCCTCATCTTGTGTGCTGCACAGGAGACACATATTCTTTAAAGGTTGAGTATAATACACATTTTGGAAACTAAGTATCTAAAATGTTTTAGGAAAACCTTTAAAACTTCCTAAGTATCTGTTTTCTAAATAGGCAGTCAGTACTGAAGAAGCAGCGAGCTAAGAACTGACTAGCGGGTTATTCGATGTATAACTAAGCATCCCAAGGAAGTGCTCACTGCCTGGGAACCTGCGGCTGCTCTTCACTATCCGAGACTCACGCTTCCACCTGCGCAGTGTCATGCGGTGTAACTGTACAAGGAGAGCGAGCTTGCAGCTGTGTGGACACGAGGACAGAGGCCTCCCCACGCACCTCCACCCTGCGATGCACCAGGGGCGCCCAGCGGCTGGTCCAGTCACCTCTCCTCTACATCTTTCCAGGAGTGAAAAGCTGAGCTGAGAACGCAGGAGGAAGAGATGGAAGTGGCTGAGGAAAAACAGAACACCCGGAGGACCCAAGCTGGGGGCTGAGGGAAGCCG